TCGGCCAATAGCAATTGGTTGCCGATCAATTGGAGAACCCTACTTTCTAGGGTAAGTACACTGTAAGTGAACATATTGTAAAACCAAGTGCAACCAAAAAACAATTAACACATTTAGATGTAACAAAAATGAATTCTAGTCGACTGAAATGAGATGCATAGAATCAGAAGACATTGTTGTCTTATATATCATTCATATCATTCATCAGTGTTTAATCACTATTAAGACTAATGTGAAGTCTTCACTCCAGTGATTCTCAGGGGGAAGCTGGAACAAAATATATATACAGTGGTGTGAAAAAGTGTTGGCCCCCTTCCTGGTTTCTTATTTTTTTGCATGCTTGTCACACTTTAATGTTTCAGATCATCAAATAAATTTAAATATTGGTCAACGATTACACAAGTAAACACAACATGCAGTTTTTAAATTAAGGTTTTTATTATTAAGGGAAAACAAAATCCAATTTGTTTGATGATCTGAAACATTAAAGTGTGACAAACGTGCAAAAAAATAAGAAATCAGGAAGGGGGCCAACACTTTTTCACACCACTGTATATTAATAAATGTAATATGTTTGGATCACCTTAGACAATTGCTAATAGCAGATGTAAATGGCCTGTTTTTTTTTAACTGTCATATGATGACAGTTATGATCATCACATATGAGGACACATATGATCAATCATACCTCAATCATTAATTGAATACAGAATATTGTGAGTGCATTACCATGTAGGCTAGAAGAAAATATGGATTTTATCTGCCAGGATTTTAGTCGTTTTTTTATGGCCCACATTCCATCAAATGATTCGTGCCATTGCTATAATCTGTCAAATCAGTAATACTATGAAAATAATGCATAGTGTAAAACTAAGACTGTACCACGCCATGTGTGTTTGTGTATATGTAACTTGACTATACTCACACAGGTATAACAAGACACCATTAACCAGCAGTGACAGAAAAAAGAGAACAGAAAGAAGAACCTGGACACTGATAACATCACTCTTCCTCCTCCTGCTGCTGGATCTGTTACCTACAAAATACACATTAAACATGGACAAAGAGACATGTGGAACACAAATCAGCACAATGCATAAGCATTCAGGAAGGAAATATAATTTTCATTTTGGCATGATAAAACCTCTGCTTCAGATGAATTTGCTAATTCAATGCAGAGGACCTATTGATGAGCTAATAATGTAAGGCTAAATTTCTTTAAATCTGTTCCAATGAAGAAACAAACTCATCTGCTTCTTGGATAGCCTGAGGGTAAATTCTCAGCAAATTACATTTTTGGTTGAATTTTTTCCTTTAAAATATAAGATGACAGAAGCCTAAAAATAACAATATCCTGAACAAAACTGTACAGAGGAATAAGTGCATCATAATCTGACATACTGGATTATACACCAAATGAAACGGATTTAAATTTCAGCCACTTAGATAAGAACAAATGAAAAATCACTTACATTCATATGTAGCCTCCAGCCTCTCTTTGGAAAGTGGTGCAGTATTACCGTAAATATGTTCAGTCATCTTGTGTTTGGCCATGATCGTCAGACAGAACTGAGGAATTAAAGCAAAGATGGCAGGTGTAGAAGTGCTTTGATTTCAGATGCTGCACTGTCAAACACACTGTTAACATGTATCACGTCCTGTTAGAAACCAGTGAGCAGATGACAGTGGGACTATTCACAGATTTTGTCAGTGGTTAGATGTTAATGTCTTTAAAAAATATATATTTTAATATCATCTATAAACATATATGTGCATCTAATTTCTTGTCTAAATCTGTCAATTCAGCTGAGAACCCGCTAAGTATCACCATTTCCTGCTCCGGGTCTGAAAACCCCTTCATTCAACAGTCACATACACGAGCTTCACCTGCAGAACTGAGCAGTGACACAGTCAAAAAGACATTTACCATTCACATGCAGTTAATAAGCACATTTAAAAGAATCCAAAAGTAATAGTAAATGCATGTCCTTGTAACATATTTGCACATCATAAAGCATGTTTAGTAGCGTGGCAGTAAATGATACATTTATAATGTTCCAAGAGATTTCCATTTCAAATAAATGCTGTTCTTTTGAGCTTTCTATTCATCAAAGAAACAAAATAAATATCATGGTTTCCACAACATTTTTAAGCAGTATAACTGTGTTCAACATTGATAGTAAGAAATGCTTCTTGAGCAGCAAATCTGCATATTAGAATAATTTCTGAAGGATCGTGTGACATTAAAGACTAAAGTAATGATGCTGAAAATACAGCTTTGCATCACAGGAATACATTACACAGCCTCAAAGAAACTTTTAAAACAAAGTACACACTCCAAATTTTTGAACTGAAGTGTGTTGCAGAATTTGAAATAAACCAGGCAGTCTGATTCTAGGGTCTATAATTAACACATCTACTATACAAAACTGTAATATTGCATGTTTCATTGCTGATTGCTGTAGTCGTGGGGATTAACAGAGCAAAGCATGTTGTTAACCTCATTGAGGTTTGACTAATCTTGGTGGTGGCTAAACTTAAAATTTCCTACACCAAGAACTAACAGCACGTGTAGAGGAAATAGCAGCATTATAGAAACAAGTTTGAATTTGTCATGATCAACCACATGTGAAAATGTCAGACAAAATGACAAGCCAAAACCCAACCGTTCACAGCAGCTGCTACTTTTTATTTAGCACCAAAAAAAAAAAAAAAATTAAAAAACGTTGACTAAGTATTTTTTTTAGTGCATTCAAGTATACTTTTTTTTTTATCATCTTTCACTCCATTGTAAAAACCTAAAGACCCGTTTTCAGTTGCTTCCATTGTATTTTCCACAACCCGTTTCCTCAAATTACCCATACTGCTTTCAAGAAAACCACAACTTTAAATAGATACTGCCAGTTCCTCATAAAACTGTACCGATTTGGTATGTAAATCCTCTTCCATTTGTTGGACAGATGCTGTCCCTTGATAAATAAGAGATACAATACAATCAGGATATTCTCCAATCCTTATAGAGCTGTAAAACTTTATGAGTAGGCAAAATCTATCATCCACAACACAAAACACATTTCATTCTTAACTCTGTGTTTCAGCTCCCCAACCCACCCCAATCAAAACAGTTTCCAACATTATTGCTAATTTATGATGATCCCCCTCCCTAATCTGCCAGGTGTACATTGTAGTTCCAACAACTGTCAACTTGTAGATCTTATAGGGTATTTCTCTTGTTCCTTGTTTATGGAAAGCATAGTGCTCTCTGTTTGCAATACAGTTAAAGGGGATCACAGGCAGTTAAGACACAAATAAGCAATAAACTGATTAGAGGACAGATTAAAAGCAATGGCAAAGCAAAACCAGGACAAAAACATCTCTTTCGCCAGGTACCACACCCATCAGTTGGTCAAAGTTTGTCAAAAGAAAGTAGAGACATTGTTTCCATGGCAACAGTTTAAGATGTTCGAAGAAGAGAATGACCACAGGAAAACCATTGACAGCAGCCCTTGTCATGTCCACTTGGGATTTTTATTATCTCATTAGCAGTTTTTTTTTTTCTCTAGGAATTTTCATGTGTCTTTGATTGTTGTCTGGTCTTTTCTAAAACACTGAAGAAATAAACATTTTCATCAATTTTGCAAAAAGCACCTCCCATTGGATAGGGAGAGTAAAATCATGTTATACTGAATTAGTTGAATCTACCGATGCGAATAACGCAACACTTATGCATCAGGGTTCATCATGAGCTTGTCTGGTGTTACCTATGATTTTTTGTGGGTGTGCGCGCACTGTTGTTAACAATCATAACAGATTAAGGTTCCTCATCTCTGATGATGGTAATTACAATGGCTTTAGGTCCATGCGCAGAGAGAGAATAAGAAGAGAGGGAAAAAGAAAGAGAGAGAGAGAGAGAAATAAGTAGTGCAGGTCCAAAAGGTCAAAGTTGAAACTTAAAAATGGGCGGTGAATTCTCCTTCCTGAAGCAGGAAGTCCATTGGTAAAGTTAAAAACAATGTTAGGCATAACATTTTGTTATGTCTAACACTCAACTCTGTATTATTTAGCCCTATATTAAGGTAACAGTAGCACACAAACAGCAGAGTCATGTGGCAATTGTTACTTCACGACACATCAGACTGCATTAATAAGAGTCATTAGTTATTACAAAATAAAACACTAACATTTTATTGTAATTGTTATGGGAAATTCAGCATATATGCTTCCTTTCAAAAGTTTGGGGTTGGTACAATTTTTTTATGCTTTTGAAAGAAGTCTTATGCTCACCAAGACTATATTTATTTGATCAAAAACACAGTTAAAATAGCAATATTGTGAAATATTATTAATATTTAATAAAATAACTGTTTTCTATCTGAATATATTTTCAATTTATTCCTGATGGTGCAGCTGAATTTTCAGCAGCCATTACTCTAGTGTCGCATGATCCGTCAGAAATAATCAATAAACAAAGTTCAAAAGAACAGCATTTATTTGAAATAGAAATCTTTTGTAACATCATAAATGTCTTTACTGTCACGTTTAAATCTATTTAAAACATCCTTGCTGAATAAAAGGATTATTTCACTTCAAATTTACTAAAATCTAAAATGAATTGGTATATTAATATTACATCAGTTAATGAAATACGGTTTTTAAATGTAAATTTAAATTAAATCATAAAACCAAAAATGTTTCTATTTTTTACGGTAAAATTGTGGCAACCACAGGTGCCAGGTTTTTTTTACTGTAAATTTTACATTTTTTTTTTTACAGTGTGGCCAAACCTCTCCAGTGACAAGAAAAAAAAAAACAATATGAGATTTGTATGTGGCATAATAAGGCATCTTTAAGCACCAATGCACCCCCTGGAGGAAGGTCATTTTGTGTCAGAGGGAGGAGTTTGAGGCTTAGCAACATCTGCCACCCAATAGCCCATCTAATGCTACCTTTCACTCTACACAGAGGCACCTGTACATATTAAAAGAGGGCAGATGTGTGTCTTACCTGCAGGTGCCCACTGGTTTGGGTAGCACCACACCTGCGGTGTACACAGCCTGAAAGATGCCCTCCAGGTTGACCCGTCTCGTGATCTCCCTGATGAGTACCGGAGCCACTCGTTTCGAGCGAAGTTTCTTATGCACACACAGGAAGTTAATCTCCACCATCATCTTCTCTCTGGGAGGATTGAAGAGCAGATATGGGTCAACAAGGGAACTGAGTGCTCAACATAAGTACTCTCAGTCTGCACAATGTGAGAAAAATGTGCCTAGATTTAGTCATTGACTAATTTAGTAAATGACATAAGAATAATTTAAATGCCTCATATTCACCATTACATTTATGCACAAACATGTCTCTGATTGGTTACAATCTTTTAAGAGTCTTTCTTTAAAATGGTCAGTTATATAGAATAATCAAAATATATATATTTTTTTATAATTATTAAATAATTTAGTTTAGCCGTACAAAGACCTATCCCCCCCCCCGATGTATTGGAAGTTAT